CACAGGGCAAAGAAATGCTTAATTATAACAAACATGATGAATCGAAAACAAAATAATCACACTGGTCACTCATAATACAGAAATTATAAATAAAAAAATGTTTCTGAAGTCAAGAACACAGTGACCAGACTGTTAGGGATTCACACTTGTTCCATTTGTTCCAAGCTAATAGGAATCCATGTGCCTGACTTTGGACAGGGGAGTTAACAAAAAAAAATTAAAACCGTATATAACATGCTGGAGTTCGTAAGGAAATGATAAATTAAGTGATCAGTTGTGAAAACTCAAAGCCATTTCATTACATTACGTAACGAACATGAGTTTTTAAAAGTTATCAAAAACATACTACGGAGAAAAATGGGCATAAAATATTTAGTGAGGATAAAGTAAAATGACTGATGAGGTGATATCTTGACGAATCTCGATTTCCCCAGTGTACAGTTGTTTACTTTATTCTACATTTTTCTCAAATTAGGCCCATGCAACTTCCGGACATATATGTAGGCCTATATAAATCATGAAACTTCATTGTCTTCCTGGCAAAGGTCAAATGACTCACTAGAATCAAAAGAAAGAACAACTTTTCTTAAGGATAAGTCTTTTTGAAAGATTCCATCCAAAACCTTCAATCAAAGTGCACAATTGTCATATGCACAACTTTACCCTTAAAATACGCAAAAGTATATTAGCAAAAATTTGTCAAGCATCTGAAATAAGCACATTACAAATGACACAGACTGAGCTTACCTTGAAATAGTGGTGAACTTTTGCCAAATCTTATAAACATACATTAATAAATACAAGTATAAAGTATGTATGACGAAAATATTGCAACAATTAAAATCAGACCATATTTCATAAACTTCATTTCTTCCATGAGTACGACTCACAGTGTAAATGCTACCTATAAATAAATTACCAAATACATGCAGGCACACACATACACACACACACACACACACACATACACACACACACACGCGCGCGCATAAAGCACGCACACACGCACGCATGCATGCACACACACTCAGATGCTAGTTGGTTTCCCAAAGCAAAACACAGACTTGTAGACTGGATACAGTCTTATGTCTCTTGGAAAAAAACCTTCCTTTGAGCCTTTTATACCTATACTGAGCTTTGTTATATAATTACACATAGACAATAACATTGCAAAGGAATTTTCGATAACATTCAAAGGATGAATATTCTCTCCAAAGTCCTGCAGAGGAAGCCAAAATCAATTGTGACCTCTGCCACTGGATGTAACAGCAAAATAAATGTGTAAATAGACTGAGATAGAGGAAATGAATGGGAGCAAGGTCAAGGAGAAACATTATGTGGATGTAAAGGAATAAAGGCAACCTGATAAATATCAATAATGCAAGGCATCATGCAAATACAAGAAGGAGGGCGATAGAAAAGGATATAAAAATAAAAACAAGTAGCTGTCATTTTTATTAACCTCGTGAGACCAATTTCATGGTCTACCACTAATAAGCAACTGTCATGAGAAAATCATGTCGTATAGTATTTTAAAAATAGTCTCCCAATCTTTTTTTTTTCTCTTTTTATGTAGGTGTCATATGCCCCTGTGGACACAATTTACATAATTCAAGGGGTGAGCTTCCATCCTGTCTGTCAGGGCCAACTCAGGCTGGGAGGGACACAAAGTCTGGGCAGAAAGACTGCGATACTCAATAAAAATTCTCCTTATATGGGAATTGAACCTGGGTCTTCTGCAGGTGACGTCAAAGCACCACTCGCGACACTACAGATGCCTGTCTCTATCAGACTTAAACCCGCCATTCATATGGGAATCTGCCAATGTAAATGGCAGACTCCATAAAAAAGAGAACTACAGTGTTGTTGTTTTTTTTTAACCCTCCAAGCGTCACTAACACTACACCAGTGGTGTCAGGGGAAATTACATGATTTCACCATATCATGTTGGGAATTGCTTGAAAACAGGCAAAACAAGCGAGCAAAGGCCTGCATAAACCTACTCTTTTAGAAAGTAAAATGCAAATACGAAGTAGAGCTCATAAAATGTAAAAGAGTTGAAATATTTGACGATACTTTAAAAAAACAAGAAAAATGAACCCAAATAGGAATTCAAATTATGGCTGATTAATTCATCAGGGACACCTCACAAAGAAACCAATGATGGATTTAATCAGCGGTCGACACTAGGAGGGTTAAAAACGAGGAACCTATTTCGACATTAAGTGATCAAGTGATGAAGCAAGCACTTCGACAAGACAGAGGGCCCACAGTTTCAATATCTCACGATATTATAACACGTGCTTGAAAACTCGTCCAACGATGAAGGCGAATTAGATCAATACTATGGGTGCAGTAGTAATAATATAGAAAGCAATGACAATGATGCTTGTGATGAAGATTCAAATATGGAATTAAGCCCAAGCCTGGGTCTAAGAGCGGAGGTAGAGAATGTGGTTCTGCAACAGCTGGTGAGGGGTGATGTGGGCAGGGATCCATGATGGACTTTAAATTATTGGTATACCAAACAAGAATACTCGCATTGGTTTGAAGGTAAATCTCTTACACATATTATGATCAAATTTTATACTTTTCTTTTCTTCTATTCATCATTTGTTTGCTATCACCATCCATCGGTTTTTGTTATCCATTTGTGTTCTTGAAGTTCTTGCAGACTTTTGCTCAAAAGGCCAGGTTCAAAAAAGTTTTATAGGATCAGGAGGTTAATTAGTTCTTACAGCTGTCCTTTAGTGATATGAATATGAGAGCAATAAATGTTCACACCATCTACTTTCTCTATTATTTTTTTGTCTACAACCAGCCAAATTTTCCTAAAATATCATATACTTGTATATTTGTATGCGTGCCACACTCTCCCACCACCCCAAAGTCCCTTTGTGAACTTTGGGGTTTCAAAGAATATGAAAATAATGTGTCACACAAGTGTATAATAATCATACAATTCACAATGTGTAAACTAATCATTAGCGTGTACATAACAATGTATTAAACAAATAAGGCAAAGCATGGAGATAAATACATAAAAGTGAATATATAATAATACCCGCTTAGCTGTGTATCATAAACAAATAAAGGCTACATGGTCAAAAGGTACAAATAATATTGTCATTACACATTTAATGATATATAAGTAGGCCAATATATAAATATATATGTTAAAAAAATATTGAAAGTTATGCAGTTTCAACGCTAGCCCTCATTCAGTTTGCAACTCGAAATTTTCAGCTTCTTTCCTTCTGAAACAGTTATTTTGTAACCGTGAACACTCAGTAATTTTGCCTCGTTCATTATACATCTTGGAGCTTTTAGCCATTTTCCCTTTAAAACAGTTATTTTGTCACTGGGAACAGTCAGTCATATACTCTGCCTCTAGGAAGATACAAGGAATCAGTCATTTTCTTACCTAGAAAAATCCTTTGTTTCACCTCTGGGGAAAAGTCACATTACTTCTGGGAACAAACAAAATGTCAGTTGTGTCACGACGCGGCGGAATCAGGCGCTCGTCAATTTTTTGACATATGAAGTTATTGGTATCATAATTTTAAAGCTTGTTCATTTGTCTTCATCCTCATCAATGCCTTTCACCCCTGGCAGGGTATAGGCCACATACAAGCTCCTTCCGTTTACCTCTGTCCTGGGCCATCCTTCCTAGTTCGTTCAAAGTGAGCTTCATCTCTTTCATGTCCCTTTCCACGCATCTCCTCCATGTTTCTCGTGGCCTACCCCTGATTTGTGCTCAAATGAAAAGCTCCCCCTCTTTCATTCGCTTCTGTCCAGACTGGTTCAAGAGGGTCTCGCTGATTCCCAGTATGTGAAGGTGGTATCAGTGCATTTCTTAGAGGACCTGTGCAGTTTTTCCAGCTTCATAAAGGGTCCTAACGTTCCACGATTCAATCCGGAGAGACTTGGACTTGGATGATGGTGTGTCTTGCTTTCGGTGAAAATAATACTCATCTCTCAGGAATAGAAGTAGAGATATTTTCTATTAAAAGAGGTGGGGGTCGCCTCATTTCAGAGATAAAATAAGCAAAAAAATGGCCACCAAAGATTGGAGATTTCCAAAGCTTCAAAGTCCTTAGAAACTAAATTTACATTTTTGTGCCTTAAATCAAAGTTTTTCAGTAAAATCCGTACAGAAATGCATCTTTAAATGGACCTTAAAGGTGCTGAGTCCAAAAAAAATAAAAATTCAATAAAAATAGCCGAAGGGAAAGAAAAGTGCCAGTTTCTTTGATTTCATTATTTTGAAAAGCGCCTGATTTCACCACAATGCCTCACATTTTGCCTTTTGAATGAAACAGTCCCCCCCCCAAATAGACCCATCTCTTCGTGGTGGGGGGGATTAGTACTCTTCAAATAGGAAAAGAAAAAGAGGAAGCTAACGGGTCAAGGGGTGACCCTGAAAAGAGACATATTACTTTACTATGTTTCTTACTCTTTCTATTTATTGTTTTTATTGTTTTACTTTATTACATTTATTAGCTTTTCTTTTCTCCTCTCTCCATCGACAACCTTTCTTTGACCTGGAGTTGGGACGGGTATTGGTGGGGTGGAAAGCAGAGGTTCATTGTCAGCACTGTACTGGATATGACTTTATGTAGGGAATACCCAGCTACATACATGTATTAAGCATGCACTTATCGGAGAGCCCTATGACTGTGGAGAAGGTGCAGAGACCATTTGCGTCTTGCTTGTTGACAACATTAACCCTCTGGAATCTGCCATGCCTTCCCCTGCCCCCATCTCTCGGATGAGAGGAATTGGTTGCTCTGAGAGGAGGGGGGGGGGGGGGGAAATCTAGCTTCCAATTGGTATTATTATTACTATTAGTATTATTATGATTATGTTATAATTTTTGTATTTCAACAACACACAGCAACTATGCTCTTAATAGTGTCTTTCTCTTCTTTATCTCCTTAAAAAACTTCTCAACATAATACAACAGACACCAACATACCCATTCATTTTTCTTACAATCTGTCTGTGATGGAGTTGGGTTTTTGTTTGTGGCATTGCACCTACAGCCACTGCTTTATCTCCTACCCTGGGATGGAAGGAAAATCACAGAACCACCAGTTTTAGAAGCTATTCACAAATAATAGAATCCCATACGAGCTGAGACGCTGCCTCGGTAATCAAGGTCTCCCCCAGGTCTTAGTGGGCAACCAAGCTGGCCTGGTGGATGGTTATTGGAAGAAAAAGAATGAAACAGTCAATTTGTTTCTGGGATAAACCTGCAATGTACTTCTGAGTGAGAGAAAATGTTTTTCTTTAGTGAAGAACCAGTCATTCTGCTTCTGAGAACAACTATTTTTTATCAGGGAACAAATCAGAGTATACTGGGGGAGGGGGAACTTGTGATGGAGGCAGAACTGAGCTGCTTTGGTCATTCAGATCTGTGACATCATTAAGAGGAGGAGCAGACGCATGAGATGGTCCAGCCTCTGGCTCTTCAACCGTCAGCTTGTCAGAACGTGAGTTTGACCGCGGACAGGCTATTGCTACTTCCACAGTTGTGTCTGCTGCCGAAGGTTCTACTAGCTGGTTGACGCTGGTATCTGCTGTGGTGTTGAGGGGTGTATCCATCGCAGCAGACTGTGTGGCATTGTAGGATACAAGTGGTGTTTGACTTGCTAATGGATCTCTGTTGTAGAAAGGTCGCATTTGCGCACTGTTACCTACAAAACAAAAAACAAAAATGTACTCTCAGGTATCTGGAAAATATTAGTCTCAGTCTGCCTTGATTAAATTAAGCGAAGACAAAATCATTTTTGACTTTACAGGCCTGTTGTGACAATTTTAAAAAAATTGTATAAGAAAATTTGTCATGAAGTGCTTAAGTAAACAGAGTAAAATCATGATTTTAGAATCTACTTATCCACATCCATTGCAAATCAAGTTATAATAACAAGCAACCAAGAAAACGGCTGAGAAAAACAGACCATGCCATATCAAGTAGCAAGAAAAGTAGTGTGCATGACACACTGTATTTTTTACTTTTTTAATGCCTTACTGTAAAACTTTCCCAAACCAGGGCACTAAGTACTCCAGTCAGACATTTATAGGAAATGTGTTTGAGGTGACGAGCAAAAGACTCCCCTCAAATTAAAAACTGGAATTTCACTGAGCCTGTCACAATCAGAAGGCACAAAATGTATAAGAGAAATGAAAAAATTTAAGCTATACTAACCTCCTTTTCTGTTGGAAGTATTATCTCCCTCACGGGAGTACCTCTTAGTAAGGCTGCCTTTGCCTTTTATACACATGTAATAAATAATGAACAGAATGAACAGAAAAGTCAACACAGCCACAATGATGATTTTTGTAACCAAGCCATCACTGTCGTCTTCATCTGCATCAACATCCTCTTTTTCACCAGGGTAGCTTGATTTAGGGTAGTCTGGGTTCCGATTATAATTCCTTTTCGTCACTGAAAACAAATATCACAGGCAAAAGAGAAACATCAAAATCAAGAAAACTACAATGGAGAGCAGGAAACTATAAACCACAAAGAGCAATTACAATTAGCAATTATTAGAACAGTAATAACCTAGAACTTCTTTTTAAAAACTATAAGGTCTAAGACAGCAAAGATATCATTTCTCTCTAAAAATAGGTGTAAGAGTGAAAATTAAAGATATTCACTTTCTTCATTTGATCTGAAGAGCCCTAGAAAGTAAATGCGCCTACAACTGGAGACACTCCAACTTTAGAATCAGCAAGAGATGACAGAGAGACATTTTGTGAGTCCTTGAGAACTCCCAAAACATATCACTCTTCCAAACTACACACCATGCTCTAGACAGGTGACAAAACATTTCCTTTTCATTCTTCATTGTAAACAAAGGTTTTCAAAAAAGTAGGGAAGGGAAAAATCATACCATTGAAGCTATACTTGAGAAGAAATGAGTGACGGTAGCCATTTCCTTCACACTTCTGGCTGTTCTTACAAGGCTTTATTTTTAACTCTGCTTCTGTGAAGCCCAAGATAAGTATACAGTACTCCTTTCCAACGTTTGGTTTCGACGTGTGGTTGAATTCTCTGTCAGTTCATAAGAGAGAAAAAATTAATTCAATTCCTTTAACACTGATAAAAAAAGGCTGAAATTATAATGCAATGATACGTAAAAATTAGTTGCATTGCAGGTTGAAGATCAAGCAGTCGACTATCCCTGAGGTTTAGCTGGGGAATGAAAAGAAAGAAGAAGACAAGGCTCATTTTATGGGTGCCTTTTGCTATAAATTCAATATTTCCGTTCCAGAGTCACATGTTATAGTACTATTGTTTTCTTACAAGTTAATTACTTGTTGAATGATTGGTTTACCTTTCACTATCTACCAAATATGGTGGAAAAGAAGTGGCCACAAATCAATGAGACCACAGAGTTCTGCCCACAAAGCCAAGTAAGAGCTGGTGGTTCAAATGGGGTCAGGGACTAAAAAGCAAGAGGAGACAATTTATTTACAGGCTCAGGTGTGAACCGAAGTATATGATGTGCGTCCAACAAGCTGGGGCAAAGGCCGACCTGCTTGACAGGAAAATCAAAGTCAGACAAAGAACCAGAAAGAAATGAGGCAAGACATAAAAAACTTTCCTACAATAGGAACATAATCAGCATATTCGTGGCCAGGAGCCCATACTTAAATCATGCCATGACCTGATAATAAGGCTGTAAAAAGTTACATTTTAATAGTTAGCTTACATTATAATCAAAGCTTGTGACTGCCAATGAGAGAGGCCTGAAAGGGGTGAAAGATGTATTTATGCGCCAATAAAACAGTTTTGAGAGTTGTGGACACTGCTCTTTGGTGATTTCATGAACGTTCATAAGGCTTACATGATCTATGGGTGAATTTGACTGCGATATATTCCCAAAATTAAAGAAGGGAAGCAGTGATATTTGATAATATAGATGCTTCACCCCTGTCAACAAGAAGATACATATTGCTAGCAGCATGATTCAACGGAAGTGACGAAATTTTCGAAAATCACTTTTTGATCCATTTATGTAGTACAGCCTTTTGATACACCTAATGTTAAAATCCCGAATTTGAAAGATTACTGCAAAGTGTTTTCAATCCTTCAGTAAATCAATTGCCTATATCACACAGGTCCCCAATTTCCATGTGATTCAACCGCCCAAGTGCCAGTTTTGCAGCAGCCGGTTGAGGTGTTCACCTGTCGTGTTGGCGGCGTGACCCACACGACTGTGGCCTTTGTCAAAACAGACTAAGGATAATATCAAAACAACCTTTGCTAACCTTGACTCAGATCAAACCTTATCAATAGCCAGAAGATTTTGTCAAGGCAGTTTGCTTAATTTATAACGAGGTTTGGTAGTGTAGTTGAGAAAGGGCAAGATGGCATCAATTAATATATGTTAATACTGACTCTACCATGTTGGTAAATTGTGGCACAAGCTACTGACTCATGGATTTTTAAAAAGTGTATGATTGACAGCTAAGGGGCGCTTATTTCACATTCGGTACAACAGCTGGAAAATATTTTTATCATAATTTTTCATGCTTCTTAATTTACTTTAAGAGTGCGCCCCTTGCTGTGTCCGTCAGGTAGCATTCTTGAATCATTGATTAGTTAGCCAGTGTTGGGTAGATGATGTTTAATTTGTCACTCGAAAAAAAAAAAGCAACTCATTAACATATCCGCCCTGAAAATTCTCTCTTCTACAAACCTTCAACTTCAACTCTCAAGCTCTACTCTTCAATTTGAAACAAATCTCATACAATCTACCTATATGCAAAATGATAAGTTTGAATACAACTGCCCTCACACAGTGGTTATTTCTGACTTTTAATATTGCAACGACAGTTTACGTGACTTAGAGATGGGAGCTGCACGACTGTCATATTAGCGGAGAGCAGAAAAGAACAAGCCATTCTGTGTAAGTAATTCTTCGACAAACTTAACAAAATTGCTTTCCCATTGCTACAGACAGAATATTGGCAAAATCTATCTTGACTATCACTTTCAAAGTCTCAGAGCCCTTTACCTCTTTATCTCCAGCAAGCCGCTCCCAGCGGCTCACAGTCAGAACATTCCTTTATGACGACTTCAACATCAAATTACTTTTCGGCAATTGCAGAAAACAGGTTTCTTTTACCGGACGTTCATTCATTTGATGAAGTACTATCATAATAGGTTCGCTAGTTTAGATTTAATGACCCATTTAGTGACGTTTTTTTCCATTTTAGAATTAGTACCAAAAAAGGGCCCTGGCGTAGTGGGTTTACCCCCATCAGAGATAAAGAGTTACAGAGAGTACCAAAGAAACCTGAAAGAGTCACTTAGAGAGAGATATTAAAAAGTAGCAACCTGTTGCTGTATGTGTCAGAAGGATCAATGTGATGTAAGCAAGGTAGGAGAAAGAATCTAACATGAAGCTTGCACAAAACCAAGTGGATGGGACCAGGACTTGAAGCGGATTTACTGTTAGTATGGCGTTGAATGAATTTGGTGCACTATAACATAACAGGACCAAATAAGCTGTCTATTTTTTTTTTAACTTGGTAAGCAAAGATGTGAAGTGTCATGTTTGGCACCAAGGAGAAGGATCATTGATTGCCAATGAAATCTCTTCTTGTGTCAGTAACTTCCTGGAGGATCCTGCAGATGCTAATTAATACGCCCCGTTCATTATATACAGAGATGGCTGTACTTATCAGACCACAACGCTATCTTGCCAAATGCAATCAGTGACATTTGTACCAGATAGAGCAAAATTGGTGAACACCAATACTTTGAAAAAGAGAAAATGCAAATGGAAGTGGATAGCACACACAGTGTAATTGAAAAATGGTCTGGTCAATGTGCTCATGGATAATCTTGAAAGTTTTTAAGAAAACAAGACAATATCACCCCCCCCCCCCCCCTTCCCCTTTGATGTTCGGTTTCTGGACCATTCAGACCACACTGAAACAAAAACGACCCTGTTGTCACACACAAACGTTTGTTGCCTTTGATACACACTGAACAAAAACAAATTGAATGTTAAGGTGAATGGTCTTTTTTAACGACTCCATGAGGCTCAAAACAGTCCTGCCTCATATGGCCCAACCAAATAACTGAAATAATTACTCTTAACTTTATAATTACTCTTACATTCATTATGATTTTCTTTAGTCAATAACTCAAACAACCAAGTAATCATTGGCACTCATCTGGTGACGTTGATTAAAGTGATTCAAACACCTAGATGCTGTCATACTGTCACTTAAGTGGTTGAATCACGCAGATTTTGGTAGGTCTAAACCGCCTAGGTCCAGTAACTTATGTAAGAAAGTTTTTGTTTTTTTAAAGTTAGTTACAGACCAGCATCCTACATCATATATCTGAATTTCAGCTTCATAGGCACGAGTATAAAGAAATAAAACAGTTTTTTGCTTCTCCTGAAAAATTTGTCTCTTGGCACTTAGGCAGTTGAATCACGCAGTCATGGACAATGATAATTTTAAAACATAATGAAGGGTTATTGGTAGGTACATTCATAGAATCTTAATTGAGGAAAATGTTAACAAAAGTAATATGGTACCATAAGAAACGAACTTCTAATACCAGACCAAGGACAGCATACATCTATCCAGATTTCACATCATAATCACATCATAACAAAAACAAACAGAGACCTCCTCAAGTAACTAGCCCCAACAATGTTTTATTCACTTGTTGTACTGCATCTTCTAATCTCCCCAGAACATGTTGGACTGTACCAAAGAGTCTACATAACAAGAGGGGCCACTTCTCTCTTTGAGCCAATTAAAAAAGTGTCCTCAAAATTCGGTGGCTCCCTCTTCGCAAAAGCGCACCTTTAACGAACAGAGTTTTCCTACTTGAGTTTAAAAAATCAAAGTGAAACTAGCAAGTTTTTGAATTAATTTCGGAAGAACGCTTTTTTAAAATGGTTACGCTGACAAAAAAACCTCTTCCGGAGGAAAGGGTGATTGTTTTCTTCGTTTAATTTGACTTTAGAATGAAAGGCGAGAGGTCATTAAAATTTAAAAAAAATAAAACTCCGCACTGAACGAACCCGAACTGCTGATGAACAGCAGTCGATCTGCGCACGCAAGGAGGTGCTATTCCTATTCTTCTTCTGGAAAAACGAAAGAGAGCTTCAAAACAGACTGCAGCGCCATCTGAAGCAAAGAGCATACTTCCTGCGGACACTTTTTTGGCTGAGTGGCCCATCTTGTTATTTACTATCTTTGACTGTACACCATATTGGCCATTACCTTTGCGGTTCCTGCAGACTTACCTTTGGCCATATAATGCAGAGGGTTCAACAAGAAGCCCAGCACCACCAACAGGGAAATGTGCACTGAGAAATGTGAAACAGATCCTTGCCACATCATCCATAAGAGAAATAAAGTGAGCCACTGTGAGATTACAGAAAGAAGGACTGTCAAGCTGTTCCATCTCGCCATAATGTGACATGACCATTCCACTTTTTGACCGTATCAAACGTATGCCTTTTGAACACTTGTCTCTCAACGAAACTGAAACAATACGAAGACAAAAAAACAAAACTTAGAGAACATTCAGCAAGAGTAGCACAAATGCTTATCAGATATTGTAATAGGTTTTGAATCCAGACTTGTCAATAAAAAAAAGTCACTCCCATTCTACATATTGCAACCTAATTTATAATGAATTCTTGAATTCTGACATAACAAAGACCCGCAATCAACGAAAAGAAGCCGATATCGAGTTTGACAAGCAAGGGATTATCAGTTATCAAACTAGAAATATCATATTACATTACATCAGATACAAACTACAAACTAAAGTATTTTGAATGAAAAAAAAAAAAAGGAAAGGTGATACAAAGTGTAAGCCAACTCAAGAAAGTGACAAAAGAGATAAATACAACTACACAAAGAAATCACATGTGGATCTGGGAGAGAGAAAAAGATATAAATATTTTCATGACATGTAAGGGAAGGATGTACTCCAACAGAATTCAAATATAGATCGAACTTAAAATTAGAGAAACTGAATAAATCGTAAGTCTTCCTGACAATTATGATGTATGTAACTTCTCACTGAAAAAAAATAAATTTGTAGAATCAGTTTATAAACTAATCGGCCTTAAACCTCTTTGAATAACAATAATTATCCCATAATCAAGATTATAGAAAATGATGATCAAGATCTAAAAAGGCCTCTGTTTGAGCATACTCATATGTGAGACATCAAGTCAAGGTGAAATCAGGCACTCGTCAAAATAATGAAATCCGAGAAATCTGCATTTTTTTTGGCCGTTGGCCAATTTTTTTCACCTTTTTTTTTTAGACTCAACACCTTTTATGTCCATTAAAAGCACATTTCTGAGAGGATTATACGGGAAAACATTGATTAAAGGCACAAAAGATGTAAATTTTCAGTTGCCAAGGACTCTCAGGCTATGGAACTTAAGGGGGGGGGGGGGGGGGGCTACACCTGGAGGCTATCTCGCTTATTACTGGACCGAATTTTACCAACTTTCACACATATAACAAGCATATAGTAAGGAATTTAAAAATCCGCAATCAAATTTGAGAAAAAAGTTTCGTTTCCATGGATACGCCGCCATATTGGATTTTATTGACATGTCTTACGTAATGAATACCGCACTTATCGCTAATGGAAATTGATTGTTTTTTTGCATGCGTGTTCACAAACATTAGATCTAAAATTTTGTCTGTTGTTTTTTTCCTAAACGAATTTGAAAATTTTTAATGAATTTTTTGCTGAGGTAGCATTCAAGTTTGCGAAAAATCCATGAAAATCCACACTCCAGACACCACCAACAAAAATCTATTCCATATATCAAAAATTCAACAGACACATTTTTAGTATTACCTCTTCTCTTCACTCTGTGAAAATTTCATGAAGATTGGATGAAAATGGTGGAGTTATTCAAAAAAGTATAGAGAAAAGTCGCGTTTTGAGAAAACGGCCAATAAAGAAAAATAAAATTCTGACTTTTGGAGGAAATGGCGGTTACAAACATGCCCGGTATGGGAAAAAATACGGTTTTTGGGGGTTCTTTTGCGATGACATAGTTGTAGGAGAGGCTGAGGAAGCTAAAAATGCCTACAACTCAAATTCCATGATTTTGAGCCGAATTTTGACTTCGGGGGTGTAGCCCACCCCTTAAGTTACCAAACTTTGGCAGCCATTTTCTCGCTAATTTTACTTCTTAAACCAGGCGAACCTGACCTCCTTCAATCGCTAATATTTAGACTTTTATTCAACATAGACGGATATTTGTTTCACCGAAAAGAAGGCAAATGAACAGGCTTTAAGATGATACTGATAACCCCAAATGCCCAAAAACAATGAGCTCTTGATTCTACCGCGTCGTGGCAGGTGTTTAAGCAAAGGAATCAGGCGCTTGTCAAATTTTAGGCTTGTGGATTTATTAGTATCATCTGAAAGCCGATTTATTTGCCTTGTTTATAAAGGGAATAAATATCTATCCATCTTGAATGGAACTTAAGATATCTGCGATTGAAGGAAAAGAGGTCGCCTGGTTTCAGTGGTGAAATTAGGGAGAAAATATGACAGCCAAAGTTTGGTAACTCCTTAGCAATGTTTTTCAGTAAAATTCCATGGAAATGTGCTTTTAAATGGACATAAAAGAGGTTGAGCCAAAAAATAAAAATTTGATAAAAATTTCCAAACTGACAAAAAAAATGCCTGTTTCTCCAATTTCTGTATTTTTAACGAGCGCCTGATTTAGCCATGTTGCCTTACATATATTTTTGCAATATTCATTCTGTATAATACAGCTGGCTGATGAATATTTCTTTGTACGTTTGTACTAAAAAAAACCCTGACACATCCAAGGAAATGAAGGAGGAGTGTTAAGTAATATATATGCCCAGACTATGAAGTATGTACTGTACAACAAAGAAACTTGAAGAATGTGATTTTTATCCCTCTGGAATACTGCATGTGGAGTTTTGGGAAAATTCAATGAGCAGTGTGAACTTCAGAGCACTTTCAGAGAACTAAGTTCTTGAATACCATAAGATAACGCCATCTACAGTGTTAAAAATCATAGTGGAATCTTTTGACCTTTTGAATATGGAAGTGGTTATTCTCAACCCGGGTGAGATAACCTATATGTCTCGCAAACCTCACCCCCTCCCTTGTTTTACCGGAAGTGACCCAAGAGGGATCAGGGCAGAGGTTACCGGGGCTTCCACAGAATCGTGTTGGTATCTGAACAGACATACATCTAGATCTAGATATCCAGTCACAGTGAGGGTTGTCAAATTGGAGCCAAATTCCAAAAAATTTGTCTCTTTTAGATCGCGTCTGGCCTGGAGAATTTCATTTGGCTCTCTGGCTCCTTATTTGGCTCCAAACTCCAAATGTTGAAGAAGAAGGGGACAGAAGAGGCAAGAAAAAAAAGAAAAGAAAAAGAAAGAAAAGACAAAAAATGAAAGTGAAGAAGAGCTTGGATTGTTCAAAATTATTAAAACTAGTTAACAAGTTTTAACGCCCTCGTCCATTTGGTCTGAATATTTACAACCCTTCAACCATTGTGCAAGAGCATAGTCTCGTCCTCGTGTCTTGTTACGTTCGTACACGCTCTGTACCTTCAACCATAATTTATTGTGTGCAGAGAGGCCAGCCATCGTTAAGTGTGTCGGTAGGGAGCCTTTTTTTTTATAGGAGAGGCGAAAAATGTTTTTACATTATTGTTATTCGTTCCCAACCAAATGCGGTAAGCCATCAAGGGCCTAGGAGATTTAATCGGCCTGTGAGAGGCCAGGGGGGAGTCCTCACCTCATGCCCACACCAGGGTGGGAGCTATTCTCATCGGGGGAGGGGGGGGAATAGCGAAACATGGGTTATTCTCACCCGGGGTGAGAATAAAGGTGGCCTATGAATATTGCTTTAGGAAGCGTTAACCCTTACAGCTGTGGGCTATTTGTAGCCCTACTTTCCTATGTAGAAAGAAGCATTGTGAGAGTTGAATTCCTTTTTTCTAACTTGCTTCTTTCACAGTCAGGGTAAAGAATGATTGAAACACCCCTCAAGACTAAATACAGTCAAAATATATAAGCAGGAGAGAGAAAACAACATGGAAACAATAAAAAAGTAAAAAAGAGAACAGATACTAAAGCAATGTAAACTCATGAGAAAATAAGTAAAATCATAATTTACTTACTGGCCTCTTTCCGTTTTTTTTCTACAGTGATTGTGGCAGAGCTGTTTACTTGACAAAAGTCATGGTTCTTGAACGTTAGTACAATTCCACCATCCTCAGTGCATGTCTTTGTGGGTTGACCAAGTTCGCTGGGACAAATTGGAGGCTATAAAAAAAAATTATAATTAACAATAGGACAAAAAAATTATTCTTTGAGAAAAAAAAGCAAGCAGGCATAAAAGCTAACAAGCTGTGCTGTTCTGAGAGAGTACATTTTTCTTTTTGTTTTGCCTAACATCTTCTGAAGGTGAATGGAGTGCACTTAGGTAGAGAAAGTACAAAGGGCATGGTGGATACCTCATTCTTCCTCTGAAGAAGTGCATCAACTTCCATCCTTACTACTAAACAAGACCAAGCTCTCATACCTCCACTGATATTATAGAGACTTGCTCGTATAAACTATGTAGACAGTTCTAAAAGGGTAAGCTGGGTGAGATCCTTTTAAACAAACAGTTGTGAATGTATTAGAGCATAGCACTGTTGAGTATTAAGGGCAAATCAGAATTAAGGACCACAACACAGTTGTGCAAAGCAGTTGATGACGCTTCTATTCGTGAGCAACTGCATTTAGGGTTCTAATACAAAAAAGCCAGTATGAGCAAGCAAAGGCCTTGCCCCTGAAAAAACTAACAATAATAAATGTACAGGTTTATTGAGAACACACATATCAAGTTGCTAGAATGCTTCCCCAAATAGCACTATCATCCAACCTCCTGATCAGACAGGTTGATAGGATCACAAATCTTACGGTCCAAAATTCAGCTGACACTATCAGCATATAAATTTATAAAAAGCTGTTCCCAAATCCACTTGAACAAATGTCTGTGAACCCTTTCTAAATAAAATAAATAGCCTATGGAGTGTCTCAGAAATGCCCTAAAGACACAGCTGACTGTGTTTTGTGACAGAACAAGAAAGTTGCAGAATTTCCAAAGCCTGAGACAGGAGATAATCCACTGCAATGGCATCCAAACAAACAGACATGTTTGTATGTCCGAAATGCAACCACATTATGGGTACTATCAAAGCTGGGACTTTTGAGCAAATGTGAAAGCCCACAAAACATGAGAAGCACATGACAGATGCCATCATTGGACTGGATGAAGCACCAATTAATCAGCAGTCATTTAAAAAAAATATGAAGACAAAATTATTATCATATTATGGGAGAACACAATGCCAATATCACAGTTTAAATAGCAAATGTATTTTTCATTCTCATTTTAAGGCTAACAAATAATATATGTCCCAAAAAGAAAAAAATATGGTTACAATATAAAATGAGTTTAGGTCATACCACCAGTGATATCCTACGGACTTGCTTGTCTAACAGGTGCACTTTGATGTTATGTATTCTGATTAGTAGTTTTGAGAAGTGATTATAAACTGTAAATCTACACAACGTCTCTATCTTTCCAATAACACAATGGATCTATTTATATAAGCTAAAAGATTTAAAATAAGTACTAAACCAATAAATTATAAATCTGACGTGTGGTTCAACAAAATGCAAACAATGCGTTATACTGCCTCAAAAAAAAAAATTATGCAGTCTCAGCTCTAATCAATTTAATTTGGGAAAATAAGTTTATGGACAGTATATCTACTCACATTTATTTGTTAAATTATTAACAATTAGGAATATCTTAATGGAAACATTCATCTTATTATTGCCAATGAAATATTTTCCTTTTCAAAGTTAGGTCGTTTTTTTTTTCATTTTATTCTCAATATGTATGGCGAACACTCTTTAAGAATACCTTACGGTACACATTTTAAAAGACAGGAACAAAAAAACAAAAATAGAAAAAGGTTACAACCAAGCATGATAACAAACAGACAAACAAAGAAACAAACAAACAAACACATTAACATACAAACACACACAATTATAAAATAGATAGTAGACCTACCTGGAGCGGAGCCGTGCCATTATCATTAACTGTCTTAATCATTACACTTGAAGGGCACTCTGGCATCTCTACGCAGACCTTGTACTCAGCTTTGAGGAATTCATCATTCTTAAACCTGAACTCAACATCACACTTTCTTTCATCAAGCGAAGTGCATGAAGACTCCTCTTTGCATCGTTCACAGTCATCTGTTTTCAGGTCCAGTGAGTAAACTTCTGTTACACTATTCAGGTCAACACCAAAGGAACAACTACTTTGATTATTAACGGGAACTTGAACTGAAAAAAGGAGGAGGTAAAAAAAAGAATTAATTTTTCATTACAAAATGAAATTTCATGATAATGAATTTTCTTTTTTAATGCAGCTAAAAACATTTCTTTTACTAATAAAATTAAATTTTAAAAAATTCTAGTGAAGTCCAATTTCACAACTTATTATGTGTATATTTTTAGTCATGTGAGACCATACATGGACAAACTACAGCCCACTGGCCGGGTGTGGTCCAAGAGCAGTTTCAGTCTAGCCCATGAGTCAGCCCAGTGATTAATAATGAATGTGGCCCATGGTGAGTCGTCAATGCATAATCACAAACTGTCTGTCTTCAAAATCAAAATCAATAGTTTTTCAGCCCGGCTGAAAGCAACGGACCAAAACATCTCATTTCATGAAAGGCCCTTGAGTGACATGTTATATTGTCAGTTTTATTCTCACTTTTGAGAACTTGGATATTTTGATCGATTTCATCTGATTTTCTCTTGCTTTGACAAGCAAGATAATATTCAGAATCACTTAATCCAGCCCCAAACTTGAATTCACTTGCCCATGCCTGTGTTACACCATTGTCTGATCATGATAAGATTACAAGAAACAAAAATGTTGATTGGACACCATTCCAATGTTACAAGAGTGGATTACTGAGTAAAACATTGATTCTGAGGTGCAAATTTGGATTGCTGACAATTAAAAATCATTTATCCTTAAACCACTTCAAACAATCCAGATCCTCAAATTTTTAGAGGTCAATCCCTCATTGAAGCTAACTTCAATATGTGCACCTGAGTATACACTTGCAGCACAGAATGAGTTTTTGATTGGCAAATTATGATACACACTACAGCAAAAAATGTGCATGGCGTTGCAGTAAAACCAATCAGAATTGAGATCATGTTTAGCCATGTGAGTGAACACAACTGTGCAGCTTTCACAATGAAGGAGAGTCAAAGGCCGATGAGGACTATATGCAAAGTGGTTATAGTCAACCCTCGTCTGGAAATAAGTTTTGAAAATGATGTCATAGCCTAATTTTTCAAATCTGAATATTGCATACGATCAAAGATAGGTAGTTTCTGCGGAGATTTAGTAATTTTCTTAAAAGAGTCAAAAGCTTCAATTTTTTTTTTTTAGCTGACCAATCTCCTATCTTTAAACTGAAATGTCTTCGATTCCTATTATGACAACTTAATAATAAAGTTAAACAACATTTTACAAGGAAAAAGTGGCAGAGCACCATGCACTGGTCTAAGACAAAATCGTAAATAGGTACCAGTGCAAAGAGTTTCCCCACTAGTACAGCTGCTGTAAGCTGACAAAACGCTTTTTTTCAATTTTGGAACCGAATTTGTTTATTTGCTTGATCAAAAACCTGATCAGTTACCCTACTTGTGTGAAAAAAATCAAAGTGAAATTGTCACTATTTCTTGAAAAAGTTAGAATTCAAATTTCAGAAGAACGCCTTTTTTTAAACGCTTGTGCTGACACAATGCCACTTTATCTCGAAACTGCTGTGAATAAAAAAAAGGAGTTTTCTCAGCTCATGGCAGACAGTGCTGGTCAGACTTTTCGCTCTGTCTATGTGTGGCAACTCATTCCATTACTAACAATATGGAAGAGATTAAGTTCATTTTTCAGCACTCTACTCTTATTTAAATTATTAATAATAATAATATATAACATTTATATAGCGCATTTCCAAAAAAGTAGCTCAATGCGCTTTACATTGGAATACCCATTTTCAAAACCTTTCTTACTACTTTTTTTCTTCTCTTGCAATATATATTTATGCGCACACACGCGCGTGCGCACACACACACGCGCGTGCGCACACACACACGCGCGTGCGCACACACACACACGCGTGCGCACACATACACACACACACACACACACACACACACACACACACACTATTTTCATCCAGACATAGGAACAGAACAACTATAATGAAAAATAACGTTAAAAGCTTATGAAGGATAGGCCTGTAGGAACAGAAAATGTTCAAAATGTCTTTTGAAGCTATCTAATGTTTTTATTAAGTAAAATTGAAGATAGGCAGAAAGGCACTATATATGGACACCATTTTTGGACAGTTTGTAAAAGTGCCGTAGGCTTTGATACATTATGTCAAGTCAGCAAAACAAGAAGGCTTAATCACTCACATCACAAGAAAGTGCAGTTAGCAGTTTTTCTGAAAGGGAAGTTCACACCTTCACCATACTAGCCAAATTTGAAACTATGCTTATAGGTCTCACAACTTTCAGTAGGCCTACCAGTGAATTAACAAGTTAAACTTAAAAACTACAAATGGGTCTTTAATTTTAAAACATTAATTTGATTAATATAGGCTGACATGAGAAGGGCTTTACTCACTTTTTTTTACTAGAGATTCCACAGAGCAAGTAATACAGCAAAACAGAGCCACGACGACTGCTGCGATGGAAGTTGTCATGACAGAAAGCATTCTGCATTCTGAACCGAATATCTAACAGCCTGGAAAAAACGAGAAAAGGAAGAGTGGTCATGAGCAAACTTTTAAATATCATAATAATAATAATAATAATGAAGATCGTTTCTATAGCGCCCACTCCTGTGTAAACACAGCTCTAGGCGCTTTACATAAATGCATGTACAAACAATATTCATGCACACGACACACACACACACACACACACTCACACTCATACACATACACATAAACATACACACACATACACACACAAACACACGCACATTCACGCACACATTACATGCACACATGTGCACACACATGCATGCCACACACACACACACACACACACACACACACACACACACACACACACACACACACACACACACACACACACACACACACACGCACGCACGCACACACACACACACACACACACACACACACACACACAAAATCTACTTGCTTATCACACATGCACACTTACACATCGTTACGAAATGAGCACATACACATACATAATAAATTAATATACACAATGCAATTCGCAAAATACATAAATGTATACATAGTCATTTACATAACATAGTACTGAACATGAATCTACTGACATAAAAATGATGTAATTAAATGTGTCTTTAAAAATTTATTTAATTTAGACTCAGACTGTGTATGTCTCAAGGGTTGGGGAAGAGAGTTCCAAACAGATGGAGCAAGGTGGGCAAACGATGTTTCCGCTATTTTTTTATCCCCTTTTTAGGAACTCTTAAAAGATACTGATCACCTGATCTTAGTGATCTAGATGGAACATAAATCTGGATGAGATCACTAAGACATGAGGGAGCTTCGTTATTGACACATTTATGACATAATATTGCAATTTTATATGACATTCTAGCTGACACGCGAAACCAATGCAATGTTCTTAACATGGGAGTAGTGTGATCCCTTTTCTTTTTCTATAGTACAAGCCTAGCAGCAGGATTTTGAAAACATTGTAACTTGTGAAAAGTGGTATTTGGTAAGTTACATAGTAAAGCATTGCAATAATCGATGCGTGAAAACAAGAAAGATGACACGAGTGTTTTCAACGAGTGTTCATTCAAAAACATAGACATATGACCAATTCTACGCAATTCACAAAATAAAATGGAACATAAATAATTGATATGATGTTCCATTGACAATTTTGAATCAAAATACACTCCCAGATTTGTTACTTTATCTGTAAAATACAGTTTTTCATTCTCAGTACAAATTCTTTGGGTCACATAAAAGAATTTCAGTTTTATTTTCATTAAGCTGGAGCTTATTATCAATCATCCACTTTTTGACATCATCAATGCACAGACCCATAGTGGTAAGCAAGGTTTTAACATCTGATGGTGGAACAGATTTATATAACTGTGTATCGTCTGCGTACATGTATCAACAGAATTTTCCACTCGTCAGGTGATTTTGATCAAATTTTTATTTTTGGCTCGACACCTTTTACGTCCATTTAAAAACACTTTTGTTTGTGGATTCAAAGGTGTGAATTATATTGAAACACGTTTATGAAAGGCACAAAAAATGTAAATTCACCTTTTCCAAGGACACTCAAGCTTTGGAAGTCACTAAACTTTGGTGGCCATTTTCTTATTCATCAGTGACACCAGTTTTAAAAGACTCCCATCTCATCCAATTGCAAATATTTTGACTTCTGTTCACGATAGATGAGTATTTTTTCCATCACAACCAAGGCAAATGAACAGGCTTTAAGATCATACCAATAACTCCATATGCTCAAAATTTGCTGAGCACCTGATTTTATTGCATTGTCACACATTTGAAAGTGCAACTCTTTAGGATGATATAATTAACAATACCATCCACATCCTAACCAAATCCCTCACCTTTTTTGAATGCCAGAAACGAAATATGTATATATATGTGATATTAGCAAGAGGTGGAAAGAAAAAAACAAGTTTTCAAAGATAATTAAAAAATCAAAAGAAAAATAATTCTTAAGCGCTATTTTTAATTTCCTAAAGTCGCACGTCTAGGAAATAAATAAAAATACAGTCACAGACGCCACAATGGAATGCTTTCCATGACGAAAACCTGTCATAGTGGAATGCACCTGCACCTGCTCCCTGCTCCTTGATAAATTCCTTTATAATACATCAGTAATTCTGTCTATGGGTTTCAAAGTCCTGAAAGTTTGGTTCTTACGGCTCTAATCTTTACACCATGTTGCCAGTCGAGAACGGAAGAGGAATGCAGTTTTGAGTAACTGTTCCCATCCATATGAGCTCTGAGTGGTGTAGATGGTAATTAAGAGCGATGTGGATGTGGAATCGCACTGCTGCTGTCTTTAAAATGTGTGTCGGCACAGAAACTTTCTTGAGTAAGCCTAATTGTATGCCCAGCTGAGAAAAATATTCCCCGGATTGTTGTTACATGATCGGGTGGGGTGGCACTGACTGATTGTGCTCATTACATCAATGGGTGGGGTGGAGACAGATGAGATGTTAAATTGTTTCTGCTTTTATTGGTCAAACATTAGCTTAGTCCAAATGAGGCGAACGTACTCATGATGGTAAAGTATTAGTAAGACTGACACATATGCCAATATTAGAATGGCTAGGATTGCACATGGAAAGTGTGAAATTTTTATTTCTATATATTCTATATATATTTGCCGATGTGACAGCTCTAGGTCACCCTTTGATCACACTGCCAAGATGGCTGGCCCTCTGTACTCCCATCCCTCCGCTTTTTTCTGCTCTCTTTTTCTTATCCAATAAGAAAATTGATGTCCAATGTGGATATTTTCTTTTTCTGGCTCCCTTGCAATTCAGTCATGTACACTAAGTTCGACTGCAGCATTAATCAATGCATGACTAGAACAATTTAAACAACATAGGCCTACCTATTCTACTAATGCACACATGTATGGCCTATATATATGAATAATGCAAGTTACTGCAAATTTAATAAGCAGGTATAGTCGGCGAACACAGGGTAGGCAATTCAAATTCTATAATGATCATGAACCACAGGAAACATAGAAGTTTATAAACATATATTTTGTAAGACAGCAGTTGCTCTCAGCCTACTATAATAATATATGCCACCTATAGAGACTTCTTCTATGATTAGCCAGTGAAGGGTGATAACAATTTAAGATATTGTATTAAATCTTTTTCCGTCTATAAAAAGTCATTTACTTGAAAATTCCCCAAATCTTCTGAATATTTACCAATATGAAAACAGCAAACCAAATATCCGGTTTTTGTCCACAGTGGTATCCATGTAAAAATAAAACATTTTGACAACTTTTTTTTTTCTCACTGTGTCCAGTCACAATATTGTGACATATGTCCATTTCATGTGGTATTACAACTAATGTAAAGGTTAATGTGATTATCATGATCTGTTACAAGCACTATAAAAATCATAATGTAATTCATAATCTCATTTTGTAAAAAATATATTAAGCTTTTAATTTTTGTTGTTTAAACACTTTTGTTTTATCCCTGACACATGTGTCCCTTGGTAAGTTACAAATAGCCTACACATCAATTATCTAAAAACACATAGGTCTGGGATTTTCTCTCCATATAGTATATATATACAGTCAAACTTGCCCTGACGGCCACCTCTATAAGACGGTCACCTGTACAAATGGCCACTTTCCATTTCCCCCCTTGCGTTTTTTCGATATAATTTATCTGTGTAAAACGGGCACCTGTCCAATGCGGCCGCTGCCACCATATTTTAACACACAACCCCTATCACACAAAGCGATAACACCTATCTTCTTAGACGGCCACCTAAGTGACTCCATTACGCTTTGTCATAAATTGTGCATTGGCCCCTGGCGTTGTGGGCGAGCCGTCATAATTCAATCACCTGTCGTTTTTAGGTAGTCCCTCCAACCGATCATGTTGCGTAGGCCCCTCCCACTGTTGACCAATAGCTACCAATTTTCAGCTGCTGGTGAGGTAAGCGTGTGATCCCTCATAACCCATAAGCCCCACCCAGAACTCATACACAAATCATAAGTGAGATGGGTGGTCACTGTTTACCCAGTCTGTAACAAAGTAACAGGACGTTAACATGAACTTGCGACAGAAGCGTCGCTCGTTCCCCAAGTGGTGGCGAGCCAAGTGTTTGTTTTAACATGGCACTCCATCTTCCTCGTCTGATACATTTAGTTTTTTTTGTTACCCTTGTGCTAAATCAGCAACAAAGTAAGAATTACAAACAAAATACAAACCAACAACAACAACAACAACAATGCGGCTACTTTAGATTGGGACCTCAGATGGGAATGGTTTGTTTTCTTCATCTTGATCAGTCCTGCCTAAGACGGCCACCTGTCTTATACTGCCACTTTTCTCCTTGACAATGGGTGGCCGTCTTACACAGGTTTGACTGTACATGTATACTTTTTAAAAAAGTGTAAGCCCTAAAAGTGGGAATGTAAAGCAATAATTAAACTTTTACTTGAATTTTGACATCCCAAGTTACCATTTGGTTCCAATAAAGATGGAATTACCCATCAGTTTAGTTCAGTGCAAGGAAACATTTTAAAAAAAAGATCTAACTAAAGGTGGTCTTAACACCAACACACTAACAAATTATATTTATATAATTTGCCTTGGGGGGGTCACCGGGTTCCAATCCATTAAAAACGAACCCTTGCTTGCACGAGTGAAATCAACACCTTTTATTCAAAAGAGCGGCACAGCCTACTGACTATTGAGCAAGTCTCCTACCATTATATAATATTAATATTAATAGTAAATGTATCACAGATTGGCCATTAGTAGGGTTATGCCTGCGTGAATATAACACAGGGAGGAAAGCATCAATAAGGCACAGTTAGTTGCGAGTAAAGTTAATAAGCCTGTATAAATCTGTTTAGTAAGTCAGAGCTTCCAAACAAAACCAAAAAGCAAGTCCTGTTTACACTGTGCGAGTCTATTCCATTCTAATTCTACACATGTTTATCATTATTATTATGCCACAGCCTCAAGCGGCTCAAACGAAGTCGAAGTCGAAGACCAATAAATAGATGAAAATGTGGGAGAGAAAGTATTGTCACCGTGGTGCACCTTTTATAAAATGCCAATATAGGCTACAACGCTTCTCTATCATGAAGGTTTTGTGTAGTAAAGAAATGGATGTTACATTACCTTGGGTCACACTGTTGCGCACAAATCTAACCGTTCTTGACCTAGAATAACCCAGAGCCAGAGATGCAAGCAAACTATCGTCTCTTTCATTTCTTGGCAATCTTTGCCTGCATCCTGTTTATACGGTCACCGAGCACACCATACTGCCTCTCCAAGACTTGTATCAGATCTGCTGGCCAAGATTCCAGACCATCCAGACAAGCAGGTCGATGTGCGTGAGTGTCGGAGAGAGGGAGAGCGTGTGCGAAACACGATCAATACCTGAAGCGTGAGCGGTAGTAGTAGGCCTACAGTGTACAGTGTGCTCCACGCCACGCATGTATAATTTACGCATTGCCCTCTCTCCCAGCCCTCTGCCGAGCACGAGCACGAACGCGGGGAGCTGTGAAATTGGTGTCCGGAGGAGCGCCCCCATCGTCATTCTAAGGTCAGCTGAACAACCCTCATGCAAAGGCCAGCTGTGTGCGGGAACATTAAATGGTTGCATCGTCACCAATGATGCTTTGTTCAACAGCTAGGGACAATGTATGCCATTTTATGTAGGCCTTTAATAATCATCATTATAAAGTGCCAGATTTAAAGGAGACATCTGTTCGGTGATCAAAGTTTTCCACTCACTGCTCCGCTCGGATGCCCTCAGATTATTATCCTGGTGTTTCCTCGTCACAGAGGTTCCCGTCTCTCTCTCTCTCTCTCTCTCTCTCTCTCTCTCTCTCTCTCTCTCTCTCTCTCTCTCT